GAGAGAGAGGAGAGAGAGGAGAGAGAGAGAGGAGGCGAGAGAGAGGAGAGACGAGGAGGAGAGAGAGAGAGGAGTGGAGGAGATGGAGCATGAGAGAGAGGAGAGAGAGACCGAGAGGAGAGATGAGAGGAGGAGTGGAGAGAGAGAGAGATAAGGCGAGAGAGGAGAGAGAGAGGATGAGAGAGAGAGCGAGAGATATATATATATATATATATATATTATATATATATATCTATATATATACACACACCACACACCACACACATATATATATATATATATATATATATATATATATATATATATATATATATATATATATATATATATATATATATATGTGTGTGTGTGTGTGTGTTACAATGGAGTTTCAAAAATGAGATGAGATGGCTGTCCAATACAAAAGTATGAGAACTATCCCCCAAATACGCCAGCAAACTGGTTTCTTCCCGCATCTGGCGCACTTTCTTTTCGGAGTTGTGCGACTGGAGACTAAACCTTTGGTATACATATACCTCATCTCAATCTTTATTTCTCATCAACCCGATAGGTGTTTCGCTTGAACGCGTCATGCCAGTCCACCGATTCCAGCACTCAATCAACGGCACAGAGAAAAGCTTACGCCGGTGTCGCCTGGTCTTCAGACTGATTTTGGCGAGCTTCTTGGGCAGGGAGGGCCAGTCGAAGGCTCCGCCGACCCGGTCTGTGCGGTCCAGCGGTCTGGTGAGATGCGGATGGCCCGGCTGCAACAGCAGCACTGTCAGACCCTGGTCGCCCGACCGGCGGCGCTGCACGGCCACGCTGTCCCCGTCCGCGTCGTCCACCCCTCCCCCCCCCCCCTCCCGCGCACACACATGACACATGGCGGCGGTAGATTGCAGTTGGTAGGAGAGCGGGCAAAGTCGCCAGGTTTTGATGGGACCAACAGACGATCTGGGGACAGAATGATGCTTTCGATGTCCAATCGATTGTTCTGTTGGCTAAATTGTGGAAGCAGTAGGATCATCGCAGCCGCCAGAGGATGGAGTGCAACAGCACGGGGATGGCCCCGTGCGATCCCAATTGTCCCCCGCGCCATCTTCAATGCTTCTGGACAGGAACGACGGGAAGCTGCTGTTGAGCTTCGGCAAACATTTAACATCGGTTCTTGATTTGTATAAAAAATTCCAAGTCGCGCTGCAGACACGCATCAACACACTCACGGAAAGGGCCGCCACCACTGCCTCAATTCATGGTCACAGGCCTTCAACTCGTCCACGGGCTCGATAGCCGAAAGGCGTACAGCGATGTCTTGTGCTTTCGAGTGTTGTGGGGACAGCAACTTTCCCGCAGTCTTGGACCTTTTTTTCGTAGTAGGTGATGATGCCAACGTTCTGTGGCGTAACGAGACACTGCTTCCCCAGTGCTAATATTTGTTGGGATTTTCTTTGAATGGTTGCAGTTGGACCATAACCAATCGGTCTTCCACTACAAACATGCGATGATTACGTTTTTATTATCAGTGTCAAAATTTGTAGCGCGTGGGTCCGGCCGGTTCTTGCAAACAGGTGTGCAATGATTT